GCACTGCTCATAATCAACAGCTTTTTGTTGTTAGGTAAATTAATGCATCTACGTTGTCTATTTGATTTCCATTGTTACTGTTAATCGGTCTTTTCTAGGAGGCCATAAATCTATTTTTTTGTGTCGACATGCAGCAACTTACATTATTCTAAAGGGAAGGAAAACAGCAAAATCAATTAAGAAACTGTATTTGCTATTATGTCACAGATTATTCCACATGGTAATGATCATTTCTAAGTGAACCAATGTATGAATATATGAATAAGTGAATAATGAAAGGAGTAAATGAAGGAAAGAAAAGGGGGACAAGAACAGGAGGGCTTAGAAGAAAGGATGAAAGGGAGGAAAGAAAGATGATGTGTGAAAGGGAGGAAGTATATAAGGCTATAAGTAAAGGAAATGTGAAAAAACAGAGTCTTGTAGGCAAAGTCTCCCAGGGCGATGGATTGCAAGCGTCAGGCGGTGCAGATCCCCCTCTCTGCCCCCCTATTCAAGTTACAAAAGCTCATTTTGGAGATTTTGCTGGCTTGGCAGAAAAGGCCTCTTTTCCCCATTTTCCATATTTCATATACGGCCCATTGGAAAGCATCGTCTACGAGTGTCATGGCTTGGCACATTTATGAGAGATGCATTGAAGAACTTATCACTTGGAAGATATGCGTAAGTTCAGCATTTTGAAATTGACTGTGCACTGTATTGTAATTCACTTATAAATTATGATCATCTGCATGATTATGCCATCAATAAATATGAGTCCTACTATTTATAAAAGTTTGTATCACACAGTTGCACTCAAAATAATAACACATTTTATTTACATGGCTTTATATGTAAAGACTAAAAGATAACAAACAAAATAATGGGACAAGATACAGAAAAAAAACAATAAAAGGAGAAGATAAAACAGCATTCATAAGCATTATTCATGTCCAAAGCTAATATTACACTGCAGTCAGATGTAAAAAACAAACAGCCATCAATAGGCCTTTTTCACAGAAGACACTGACTCATCATAGTAAAAAAAGCACAGGTGATACTAACAACATTAACAATGGCTTTGTTGTATTTAAGTGTCCCAGTAAGTCATGACAGTGTGACAGTGAGCCAGCATGAACAATACCAGGACCCTGGAACCGGAGAAGCTATGTGGAATTTGTTGGAGGACGTAAAACCAGTGGTGGAATGTAACAAAATCCATTTATTCATATACTGTACTATACTTAAATACAAACTTTAATGTAGGTGCACTTTACTTGAGCATTTCAATAATATGCTACTCTATACTTCTTTCCCTACATTAAGAGTTGAATGTTTTACTTAACCAAATTTCCTGGCAGCTTTAGTTAGTAGATTCAGATTGTACATATAAAATGTCATTTGTTTATTGAAAATGACTAAACCTTGACAGTAGAAAAAAGACTAGTCGGGTCACCCTGAATGTTAAAGTATTGAGCTGCAGGTCCTGTCAGCCAACCCGGTTCGATCGACAGGTGGACTATTGAGATTGGTAATCAAGGCATAAGGATATAAAAGCATCCTTATGCCTTAATTACCTACCTCAGTATTATACTTCTCAGGATAATGTGGGTACACACTGTGCCTGACTGACATTGACTTGACTCTCTAGTTAGCTTTGTTATCCCTTCTGTCAGGAAGGAAAATGTTCAGTAGTTTACTGAGCGTAATTCCCAACACCTAAATTCTTGTGTAAAGTTACCATCAGCTAAGTAGACGTGTAATTTAGTCAAATTATTCAGGTTATTACGTTAAGTTTAAATGACACATACAACTCTTAGTGTATTGTCCTGTTTGTGTTCAAATGTGTCATTCAACAGTAGGCACATGTACACTTTCCAACTGAGCTGAATTCACATTACATTTTGGAACTAAACTAGTATTTTAGAAGTCCAAACACACCAGAATTGTGTTCAGGGCTGTAGTGTAGATTAGTGGTCGATTCTCCGTCAAACAGCTGACCCTGGTCAACCCATGTTTCGACATGTTCAAGTGTCCTTGTGGAAGACACTAATCTACACTTAATGGACTATCCAGTCCAGCGGTGCTGCTGACTCTGACCTCACTGAGGATACCGAGTAAATAGATTTCCTTGAGTCAGTGTCACATTATTTTACTGAAGACTGTCTTAAGTACAAGCATGTGACCTCATCCTCACAGCTAGCATTAGCTGCTAACCCACTGGGCACTAAAGCTAAAGCACTAAGCAACTTATCAGGAGGCTTCCAGCGCGGGGCATTAAAGCTGACTGAGAGAGCAAGAGCAACATTGGCCCAAAGTCCTGCTTAGTCATCGCTTCTCTCAGTATGGTGAAAAAGTGCCACTTTCATTCCCATGGTGATAAGGGAGAGTGAAAAGGCCGGAAACAGACCTGTGTAATGCTGATGGACGTAGTCAGTCTCTGAGTGAGCAGGGCTCGAGTGCGAATCGGGGGCTAAAAATGCAACATCAGCAATGGCGGATTTACTTGGATGAATGGACTCGGCTCGACGAGGAGGGTGGGGGGAGTTTGGAGGGTGGTGGGTGTCAAAGCAAGTGGCTGAGACATGGCTAATACTGCCAGTGAGCTGTGGCCACCTAAGTAATTACTACCTTTGCTGTTAGGCTAATCCCCAGAGCAGAGCAGCAAACTCAGGAGAGAAAAGCTTAGAGCCTCTGTGGGGCTCCCATCACCCGACTTCAATTACACAGACACGGACCTGTCTCTGAGAGAGAGAGGGGAAGGATGAGAGAGAGAAAGAGACGGCAAAGAAGAAGGGATGGTCTCATTTATGAGTCTTTAGTCAATAGATAAATGATTCTGGTTCTTAAAAAAACTTTCTCTGGGGAGGGCTGAGTGTGTGTGATGTGTGTTTAATCAAAATAGATTGGGCATATCAAGAACTCTTTCTTTTAACCTTTCTATTTCTCGCACTTATGCTTCCAACAAGCATTAGATGTTGAATGGAAATGTGGCTGAAATATATATTTTAAAAAAGAGGACAGATTTGTAACCTGGTCTCTCTTAAACTGACTGACTGTTTTCATCAGTTTTCATCCATATCTCTTTCCATGTTTCCTGTGTATCTCATAAAATGCTGAAAACAATAATCCTAAAAAAACAAAAACAATGGTGATCTGATGGTGATAAAAAAACATTCTTAATTTAAATCTATATGTGACTATACATGCAATTTATATGGTTAATTATTTAGTGATTGTGCCGTAAGGTAACATAGGACTAGGTATCTTTGTTAATAATTTAATAATGTGAGAATTTTTTCTATGGTCAATTTTTATAACAAAAACGTAATACAAATATGAGAAATATATATATATATATATATAAAGAGATAAAATCTATGGGGAAAAAATGGAAATACTGATGATAAAAAAAATTTAAAAATCACATTTAAACCATATATTAACTTATTTTGGATCAGATTACTCGGGTCAACTGTGATGTCTTCTTAAACAATTGTCTATTAACATTATTGCGAAATAAATAAATAAAAGATAATTTTAACAAGACACGTATTTGATTTTTTTGGAAACCAACTTCGAAATGCAATCAGTGAAACTCAAACATTTAAACCATCAAACAAAACAGAAAATAAACTTCACCAACTGAAGCTTATTTTTAACCTACTGTATAAGTTCACTAACCACAAAAACATACAGTGAAGAACTTAAAGCTTTTTAACTATAAGCCACTCTGTGTTAGTATAAAGAAATAAAGAGGTTTCACAGCAGTCTGCTGATGCTATACAACTTCAAACTTCAAAAAGCAAAGTGAACCAAATGGTTTATTACAGCAAGCACTCCCCTGTCCTCTCTTGCTTGTTACTAAACATTACAACAAGCCGGCTCAGCGTCACTCTGTGTGAATGAACTGCTGCTGTGAGGGTTACCTTTGCGTTCGGAGCGTTTCTTGCGCCTCCTCTTGAACCTGCGTCGGATCAGGCAGTAATAGGAGCCCAGATTCTGTGCGCCGTTGGTAAGAAGGGCCATGGCTTGGTCAGCACTTACACCGTTATAAAATCAACTAAAGCTTTCTAACACTAGACTAACCTGGACCAAATTAAACTTCAGCTGCTGGGATCTCACTGTGAACGCATGGTCTACCTTGTCCTTCACCTCTGACAGCTAGTGCTCTCACACTTCTTCCAGTTTGTGCTGCCAAAAGCTAATGATATTCAGAACTCCACACACCTGCAGCGTTTCTTTGTTTCTACTTTAGTCCTTCCCTTGTATCCGAACTCTTTTTCCCTCCCTCCCTTTCCTCCTCCTCCTCTCGCTGTTTCCCTCCTCTGTTGACTCCATCTCTGCCCTATCAGTAGTCAGAGAGGAGAGGCGATGGAGTAGAGTGTGAAAAAGAAGGAGGGGACTAGCGGAGGAGGGAGACTCGTGTTTTCATATGGTTGTGAATTAACACAAGGAGCAGAATAAAAACCCTTCTCAAAGTAACTGACAACAAGCAAAAAATAATCCCTCAACCCCTCAGTGAAAACACGTGTGTACGCTAAAAACAACTCCAATATGCTCACACTCTCTCACATTCACATGTACACATATTCAAACCTGCCAATATGAAAAAGTCTCACCCTTGCAATCAGGTTTTTTTTTTTTCTCACATCGCCCCTTTTACTCTAACTTCAAGATTTACATTTCTTGTGCTTGTCTACCTTGGAGACTCACTCAGGAGCACAAGGATGAGAGGCATCTCAAAAAGAAACACTCTGCCTTCCTCTAGTGGCCATTTGTTGTAATTACACCTTTGATTGTACCAAACCACATCCAAGCACCAACACTTTAGTCCACAGATGTCTAACTAATGCTTAAAATGATGTTGTGCTTGATTAATGATCATTATTGAAGAGTTATGTTTCAAATGGTACAAAAGAGCCTATAAGAGAGTCGAATTGTGTTGTAGAGAAAGACAAAAAAAAAAAGAAACGTGCCCAAAGTGAAAACAGAAGTGGAAGTAGAGAAAGAAAATAACTCACCTTTGGCTCAGTTTTGGTGTCAGTGATTGGAAAAACCTGATGGAGAGAAAAAGAAGATGTTCCAAGTAAGTAAACAGCAGAGCTTCTGGCTGACTGCAGAGTTTCTGTCAAATATCTGGATTATTGACAGTAAAAGTGTTGTAAGGACGTCATGCAACCAAGTCAGTGGTAGACACAGAGGGCAAGAAAAGGTGCACACACTAGATTCATGCTCCATTAGCTGTGATTATTTAGCCAGGTTTCCACCTCAGCTGGTCTTTCCCAGCCATACACTGGCTGAATTGTTCCAAAAACCGGTGTTTCTGGCCGGTCACAGCCATTGTTTGAAGTAATGGAATGCAGGTTTTCCCCTGAGTACAACTGGATCTATTAATTTTGCTGGAATACAGTTTTTCTTTTCTAATTAATTCTGTGCAATTAAAGTGTTGCAGTGCTTCCCTGTGAGCTATACATTTGGCAAACACAAGGCTCCTATTAAAGAGATTTGATGTGGTGGTTTATGTGGCCAGTTCTTACACAGAGCATTGATCTCAACCAGACCAACTTTCCAAAGAATAAATAAACATGTTAATACAATGTGTTACCTGGAAAATAAAAGTAAACAGAAGTTCTAGACATCAGCATACCCCAGCTGACAAAGTTATCTCTGAACATACTGTATAAATCCCATTTTATTCCTCTCAGATCATTGGATTCAAATGTCTACACATTATATATACTGTTTGCTGTTTAAGCAGCCGACTAGAATTTTAGATTAATGACACTGTAGTCTGTGGGATACCACATGGATGTACAAGTAGCATGGATTGGTAATGGCGATGATGGTAAATATGTAGTGTTCAGTATACTCAATATACTCAGTATATATATTCTGCACATTCCAGTCATATAGTAATTTGACAGTCGCATGTTTTCCTTGTTTTGGCTTTACTTCAGAACACAGGATTTTAATTTTCATACTGAATGACCCTTTACATACAGTTCCCCAATTTTAGGAGGATGCACCCTAACAGGACAATGATGCTAAACATACAGACCAGGGCTGTGCAATATGGCCAGAATATCAAAAACTTCATTTCACAACCAGATAACGACACATATCACAATATAGAACATTTTCTGTCAGTTCAATGAATAAATGATTTTTTGCTTTTATTGGATAGGACAGCTGAAGATAGATAGGACATGCAGCAAAGGGCCACAGGTCAGACTCGAACCCTGGGACGCTGCAGCAAGGACTCAGCCCTTGTACGTGGGGCGCCAGCTCTACCAGGTGAGCTATCCGGGCACCCAAATAAATAAAGTTTCAATAAAATTACCACATGGAAAGTACACTTTCATGGGCCATGTCAGACCTTTCATGCCCAGACCACATCCATGCGACAGATTTAGCCCCTCTTTTAGATATGAGCTACTTGTTTTGTCTGAATTATGTTGTTCTGTGTTAGGTTCCCTCTCCTCCATGTTTGTTTGTGTTGCCTTCGTGCAAATTTTCTGACTGCATCCGTGCCGTGTGGAAGAGCACAAACCGTCAGGTACTACAACTGTTTACATATTGCAATTCAGATTCTGAATGTGTCACTTGAATCCTCCAAAATACAAAATAAATAAAAAGGCATGTGAAAAATAAATTGATGCCCACAAAATGCCAACTAAAAATAACAGTAAATCTACAGGCGGGTATGAAAAAAAAAAAAAAATCCTTAAAGCTCCGTAGCCCTCTCTGGTAGATACAGCAACTGGGGATAGAGATGATAGTAAAGGAATAAGAGACGAGGAGGGAGAGAAGAAATACAGCCATAAAAGCTTGAGAAGAGTAAAGGAAATAGGAAGGCAGGATATAGAGAAAAGCCCTTGAGTGAGAACATAAGATAAAGAATGAGGCAAAGCAGGCCAGAGACGTGAAAATTAAAGAGTGGGAGATGAAGTTGGATAAAGTGAGGAAAGGTAAGATGAGGTGAGGAGTTAGATATAAAGAAAAAAAATGTTCCCATGCAAAAGCGAAGAGCCGTCTCAGTAGGATCTCTAACCTGTGGGGTCGTTTAAGGTCAGTGAGGCTGTCTTCACTGCTGCCCAACTCCTCCACAGCTCGCCTCCCGCTGCTTGATGAAAAATGTTCTTAAAAAGCAAATGAAAAGGTTTTTGGATAGAGCCTTACCAATTAAGCACATGAACTTAAAACTGAGCGGAAAGAGCAAGAAAGATGTTCCAACAGAAAGAAAGTGAGACAGCAACTGAGAACAGAGAGAGAGAGAGAGAGAACGGCAGATGGTTAGAGCAAGAAAAAGAGAGCCAGCCAAAAGATTCGGGATAAGAGTTGTGGGGCAGAGAAAGTCAGCCTGAGAAAGGAGATGATGAACTTAAATATACTCCAGACGCAAATTCATTCATGCTTCTGTGTGGAAGCCAACGATAACTATGGCTGGCCAAGTCTCGCCACAACTGCTTTGGCTGGGTGACTGTTTTTTGTTTTGCTTTGTTTTCTGAAGGGGAGACTAGTCAGTGCACTTTTCCTTCGTATTCTAATTTATAGAGACTGTGCAAAAAAGCTGCAGACATGGGTTGAAGAGTGAGTACATGCCCCACAGAGGCACATGTCGAGATTTTTACTCACTGTTCTCTCTGTTGGCATTTTGAACACATACTGAACGTACAAGAGGAAAGAGGCTGCGGTTATGGAGCCAATACTTTGTGGTTATACAGCCTGGATTTAAAGCCGTTCCAGACTCTGAATAACAACTCAACTCCTGGTGGCCTTTGCAGCGGTTTGACAGAGAAACACAACCATTGACAAAAACAACCTCTTAAACAGTTTGAGAGGCAAGGAATCCAGGCTACTGTGGTGAGCCCATCTGTTGGTTCATACGGTAGATGTACTCACAGTCAACTAAAAAGCACAAAGCTCTAAAAATAGACTCAGTGGGAACAGTTTTTTCATTTTTTTTCTTTCTAAAGCCGCTCATCAGAATTCATAAGCCAGTTCAAGAGATGCAGACTTTTAAGAGCTAAATTGAGCTTCACCAGTAGTGGCTTCCACTTCCTGACTTGTGTTCAACCACCAAATAATATTGAGAAATTGACCGAAATGTAGTGTAATAATGTAGTTCATCCATACGCCAGCGAGGGGAGACACTTTACAGGGGGTCAACGTCATTAAACTCGTATGTTGACATTCTTACTTTTACAATGAGCAAACAAGACCATTAAACTTCACCAAAATATGCTCATTAGTATTTATAAGCATTCCTCATTAAAAAATGGCTACCAGAAACCAAAAGCTATCCGTCTAACAAGGTTTTTTGAAGCAAACAAAAACTAACGAACATCTGGAGGTGAATATACGAAAAAAGAAACAAACCTCAGAGCGTTCCCTCAGATGAAATTTTGACAAAAGGCCTACGCTTTCCTCCTCCTCTTAAAAAATTTACCAGCGTGTTTCAGCTGCATGTCAAAGCAATTATCTCAGGTCACTGCGGAGAACCAACTAAAAACCTGACCTGTAGATATTAGCGTGTCCTACGATGCCTGAATACCTGAATCTGGAGGCAGATGAAAAATGTCCAGGCAGGAGTGGAGTTTCATTGCCTTGTGAGGAAGTCACGTTCCTAAAGCAGCACTCACTGAACCTCATCTTGTGCACAGAGTTTGGCAAGAGAGAGAAAGAGAGAAAGAGAGAGAGAGATTGTGTGTGAGAGATTAGTAGAGACAGAGAGGGAGAGCCTTTGAGAGCTTTTGGGAGTCGAGAGCAAGCGTAGCGTGTGTGTGGTGGTCATATTAGGATCTAATAGTTGTGGTCCTCCTCTTAGGCCTTTGAAGACAGAGAGATACGCGGGGCTTTGGCTAACTTGACATAAGTGATCAGAAGAAGGCTGCAGAGGAGTTAAAAGCCATTTGAGACTGGGCTGGACAAAAATTAAGTCAGGGAGGTTGATTATAAAAGAGAGAGATTATGAAAGAGACAGGCAGCCCAGTCAACTGCGCATGATAAGGGGAGTGCGTGACTGTAACCCTCGACTCCCAGTCTTCATCCAAAAACTAGGCCAGTGGCTTGCTAACCACTAGCCACACACACACACACACACACACACACACACACACACACACACAGCACACACACACACACACACACACACACACACAAAAAGACGCAGGCTAGCCAGGGTCCTGATAGCCATTAAACGCCACTCCTCCCTCCCCTCTGACCTAGCTTTTTCTCTCACACACACACACAGGGACACAATGATAATTAATCCATCGTTTAATTACATGTGTGTAATTCTACAGTGATTGATTGCGTGTGTGTGTGTGTGTAAAAATTCAAGGGAGGAAAAGAGCTGGATCACCATGTACTGTTCTTTCTCCATGCAACCTTGTGAGTGTCTGGCAGTGTTTTTGTCCTACTTACACTTGTCCAGCAGAGGGTGGTACTGCTACAAGATGATTGAACATTACACAGTATCTACACTGAGGATGGTGAGTGTTTTTCATTTGCTTGCACATTTCAAGTCCAATCCAATTTTTCACGTACACTGCTGTAACTTCTCACGTTATCCTGCTCCATCCTCGAATGTAGAGGATGTCCAGATCTGTAAAAAACGCTTGGGTCTACTTAGTAAAGCTTCTGGTAGAGCTGGACGCATTGGCCAGCTCCCACAAGTGAATTTGACAGTGTATAAAACAATGCCAAATTGGAATTTAAGGATGCACAAGCCAAAGCAGAAGGTGGCGACAAAAAGAATTTATCAGATCAAACACTCTCATCACATACTGTACATATTAAGAGCTGCAGGGTGCTCTAAAAATGTCACACTGTCCAGGCAGTTTTCACTTTTGAAATAAGAAACCAACAACCTACCCACATGCTTAATGTAATAAACTGTGAGTTAACAGATATAAACTGTCTGTTCTCTGTACTGTATGTTTTAGGTTATCATCAAGGATTTTAGCAAAACGTGATACCTACTAGGGTTTGTTTGAAGGCACTCGGATGTATTTCCAGCCTGGTTCTGCAGTACTTTTATGTATTCAGAAGTTCT